GCTTCTAGTCTAGTGCCTTTAACCACTATACCAAATTGGCTCTTTCAATAAGTATACTTTTATTTTTCAACCTAGCAGCTAATCAAATGAGATTCAAATCCATGTAAGGCTCTTGAAATACATTCTGGCTATTTAAGAGCTATTTCTTAATGAATGATGTACAGGGCTTAACAAACTTATCCAACTTGGTATTCTTTAGATGCAACTCCCATAATTCTTAGCCAAAATGAAAGCTGTTTTCAAATAGCACAACTTTGGGAATGGGGGTTGTTTGCGTAAAATGCAGTGATTCTTCATCCCACTATGTGGCTTATTGTCTGTATGGCTAGGGTGTTTGCAATCAGCCTTTGCCCATATGCTACTCACAAAAAATAGCCTATCCCATAATTAAAATGTAGCTTGGGCTGGCGGAATTGTTTGATTATTTTCTACTCCTTTTAAATAGGAATGTGCAAAATAGTTTGAATGTAAGCTCCTTAGAGCTCAAAACAGCTGCTTTGATTATCTCCTGCCTTGTTCGGACAAAAGTATGTAGTTTTGCTTCATACTTGGAGCAAAATATGACCTTTTTGAGTGGTACTGTTTAAACATTCTCTGTTGTTCTGGAAAATTCATCTGACCTTTGAATAAAAGCAAAAATGTCCTTGGTTGGCCTACACATCAACTGCTATGAGTTGAGGTTGAATGGGATGACCTGGGGGGAAGTGTGGAATGCTGGCACAGGAAGCAGAATCGAGCACATTGTATTTCAAGGAACCAGTCTAGCTCTGTGTCTGACATTTGTAAGAATCCTACAATTAGAAGGACCTACAATTAGATTGCTGTGGTGCAATTAGTGATATACCTACTTGTCCACCTCTATACAACTCCACAGTACCAGCCCAATTTTGTTCAAAGGTGCTACTTTTGTATTTTAGTATTAAAGGAATGTGGTGTAATGGATAACTGATAAGTGGGAAGGAAAAAGGCTGAATGTTGGCTTAAATCTCTATCTTGTTAATATTAACTTAAGGATGTATTAAGAAACTAAATTATTATCCCAGTTGGTTTGGTTGCTAGCACTTCATTTTATGTTTTACTGAACAGTTGCTGGACCGTATATTTAAATGCTGATTTTTATTGAGAGTCTGGCAAAATAGTAATGGGGAGAGAGGTAGCAATATTTTCTTGTGTTTTTTGTAATGTTAACACTTACAAATGCAGCTAAGCAGCAGTCATTCTGCTTAACTTTCTGTTAAGTCTGAACACATTTAAAACGTCTCTATAAAAATAATAGAAATGCAATTAAGTCTACAAGCTTGAGAGTATATTCAGTTTGGAAGAATCTAACTTATAGCCAATTGAAGAATACTGATGAAAGAATTAGCTTTTTGTCTTAAATGCTGGCCACCAGTGTCATGTCAATTAGAAATGCCTGGGTTATTTTTGCCTATATGCACTGTCAAACTTTTAAAAATTATTTCTTTTATAAATCTGTCTACAAGTTGGCTAACTAGTAAGAGTCAACATGGACTGTCATCTTACCTACTCTTATGGGCCCTGGATGAAAAACAGTCACACCATTTGATATGTTTTTGAAATTTTGGAGTAAACTGTATACTTTTTGTATAGTTGCATAGAACTTTGTTTTGAGGGTTTTCTTTTAACAGATAAAGCAATCCTGAATAGTTTCAGATTGAAAGGATTTCATGAGGGCAAAGCTTTTCTGCACAATACAGAATAACAGAGATGGAAGGGACCATGGAGGTCTTCTAGTCCAACCCCCTGCTCAAGTAGGAGACCCTATACCAGGCATGTCAAACTCGTGATGTCACGTGATGTTGTGTGACGTATCCCGACTTTTTCCCCATTGCCGGCAATAGGGTGGGCACAGTTTCATCATGACGCATCCGGCCCATGGGCCGGCAGTTTGACATGTCTACCCTATACCATTCCGGACAAATGGCTGTCCAATCTCTTTTTAAAAACCTCCAATGATGGAGCATTCACAATCACTGGAGGCAAGCCGTACCACTGATTAATTGTTCTTATTGTCAGGAAATTTCTCCTTATTTCTAGGTTGGATCTTTCCTTGATAGGTTTCTGTATGTTACTTCTTGTCCTGTCATCTGGTGCTTTGGAGAATAGGTTGACTCCTTCTCTGTAACAGTCTCTCAAATATTGGAACACTGTTATCATGTCACCTCTAATCCTTCTTTTCATTAGACTAGACATACCCAGTTCCTGCATGGAAGGGCTGTTCATCATATGTTTTAGCCTCCAGCTCCCTAATCATCATTGTTGCTCTTCTCTGCACTCTTTCTAGAATTTCTGGATTAAATTAAATTAAATGTAAACATTTAAAACTATTCTGGGGTGTTCTGACTATTTCAGATCTTTTTGGAAATTGAGAGACAGGTTGGACCATGTTTATCTGTAGTGAACTTTCAGCCAATAAGTACTAATTCTTTTTAGCAATAGCTGTGCCCAGGGAATTGTCAGCTAGTTAGCATTTGCATGCTGAGTAGTAATAGCTCTTCAGAGAAATTAAAGAGGAAATAATATATGATGAATCCATGTTTTTACTCGGTATAATGTCTGATCTCAGCCTCCTTAAAATTATTGATGTTGTCATGTTAAGATTCCTGATATTTGGTTTGTTCGTCCAGTCTAGTCAATATTGCTATAATGGGAGAATTTGGGCTGGGAGGCGGGCTAGTTATGACACTCCTAGTAGGACAGAGACTACCTCTTAAGAACAAGGAAACAAAATCTATATACTGTAATACAATTGATGGAGAAACACAGGAAAACAGGATTTCCTTGTTTTCATCAGCTTAAAGCTACAGTGTCATCTGATGGGTGCGTATGAATGTCATTTTGATCTGCACAACCATCTGAAAATTCTCTTAGTGAAGGCGATTGAAAAATCATCGTCTTTAAACTTTTCATTCCCACTACATATTGTACTCTCTCAGCTAAGAAATAAAAACTATTTATTTATTGATCCATAGTTTATTGTATAAAGACAGATTAGGTGAATTTGCATAAAATATTAAGCCACACTTTATACTACACCAGACATGTCAAACACAAGGCTTGGGGCTCGGATGAGGCCTGCAAAGTGGTTTCATGTGGCGTGCGAAGCCATCCTGGAAACAGTGAGGGAATGGCCCCCACTGCCAGGAGCCAATATACAATTTTGTGGTGGCCATCTATGCTGAAAAGCATTCAGTCTTAGCTCCACAAGGCGGTCTGGAAACAGCGAGGAACAAGCCCCTGCCGCGTCGGCCCCACCCCCTGGGTGTATGCTGGGGATGCACCATTGCCTGGAAGTGGCCAGCAAATGGCCCTCGCCTACTTCACATATCTGGCTTGATGGGCTCTGGGGGAGGGGTTTTGGCAGGCAGCGGAGCGCTTTCCTCACAGTGCCGAGAGGCTGAGCCAGGCGGCGCAAATCCAAAAAGAAACACAAGGCCACCCAGCTCCCAGCCTGCCCGGTTTCAGTAGGCAGCAGGCGCTCTCCTCACAGCGCCAAGAGCTCAGCCAGGTGGCACGAATCTGATGAGAAGTGTAATGCTGCCTAACCCCCAGCCTGCCCAGTTTCAGCAGGCAGCAAGGTGCAAAGTTGGCGAGCTTCCCATCACCTGGCTCAACCTCTTGGTGCTGTGAGGAGAGCGCTCCACTGCCTGCTGAAACCAGGCAGGCTGGGGGCTGGGCGGCATTGTGCTTTTTTTTAGATTTGCGCCGCCCAATTCAGCCTCTTGGCGCTGTGAGGAAAGTGCCCCGCTGCTTGCCGAAACCAGGCAGGCTGGGGGCTGGGCGGCATTGCGCTGGTAACGTTGACTCTCACGCTGCTCATGGCATCCCCTCCCCCAGAGCCCACCAAGCCAGATATGTGAAGTAGGTGAGGGCCATGTGCTGGCCACTTCCAGGTGATGGTGCATTTCTTCATTCCTCACGAAAGGTGACACCTCCCCAGCTGCGTTCCTTGCCTGTTTTTCTCCCTCCCTCATCTCAAATATTTCCCCACCACTCTATACTTAGGAAAGAAGGAAGAAAAGAAGGAAAGAAGGAGAGGGAGGATCTGAGGGAAGTCCTGCCTTACTCCTGCCCTGCTGCCCTTTCACCATTCCCTTGCCCCCTCCTCCTGGGGGTCTCCTATCCTATTGCTAAGGAAGCTTTGGATACAAAGCTGTGTCTCCTCCCATGGAGAGGGAATGGGCCTCCCTATGATTTTACCCTCATACCCATTATGAGCAACGTGGGTAAGGAGAGCAAGCACAGAAGCAACAGCCTTGAGGAGGAGGTAAGTGCAGCTGGGTGCCCCCTTGGGGAAGTGGGGCTGGGCTTGGTGCCATGGGTGCTTGAGGGCAAGGCTGGGCATTTGACCTCTGCTGTCCAGGGCTTCCAGCAGCTGGGTCACCATCCAGCCCCCCCTGCATGGCCTGAGAGGAACAGTGAGGCTCCTCCAGTGGACCATGCCTTGGCACTTGCCCTGGCCCCACCCCCTTCTGCCAGAGACCCTCAGATCTGTCCCACTCCTGCCCAGGCCCCCACAGGCACACTTGACGCGAATGATGTAGAGCTGGCCATGCCCACCCAGTAGGCCACACCCACTCCATCCACGCCCACCCAGTAGGCCACACCCACCCTGACCACACCGACCCGGCCCCCTGAGGGCAACCATAATGCTGATGCAGCCCTCAGTGAAATTGAGTTTGACACCCCTGTTCTACACCAACCATGATAGTTTTTGTATAAAAGCTAAGCTCCTTGAGCAAGGCCCCGTAGAGGAATATCACAGCATTTCATGGAATATATATTTCTGCCTTTAGACATTGATAGACATATTCTGGATAGAATTTTATGATTCAAGTATGAAATCCAAATTTGCTCCTTTTTTAAAATTCAAGAATGAATTGTAATTCACACTGTTTTCTAATGTTAAAAGGAATAAAAAAATTAGGCATGTTGTAGGAGCACCTTGAAGCTGCATTTTGCACGTTCACTTCCCTTTCTTTTTTAAAAAATGCCTTTTTCTTTCTTGCATTCCCCCCCATTTTCCATATCTTTTCCTCATTTATAATTCATAGTTTCTCATAAGATCCTCTTTTATGTTTGTGAGCATACAGAAACTAAGGTGTAGATGGTAAGCCTAAGGTGATCATTAGAGGAATAAAAAGTATGGACACAAGCAGTTGTCACTAATGTGTTTTAGGGTGGAGATCAATGCTGAACAAGGAAAAGGAAAAATGCAGCCAAGATACCAAGGAGACCAATGGCTGTGAGCAGGGAGAACAGAGTGTGGTTTGAAGAGCTGCTCACAATTCGTGTTTTCGTGGGTTTAATAATCCGCTCCCTCTGGGTGAGGATGGCATCTCTGGCTCCAGTCCACTTGCCTGGCCCTTTAAGACGGAATTGGAAAGGGTTGCAGGGCCCAAAAAACATGGCCCAAGCTAGAATGGGATCCCATAACAGCAGTGAGAATAGATCTGGCTTTGATCCGAAGGCTGCAGCAAGCTCGTCCAGGTAATCAATGAAATCGGTTTGAATTGACTGACTGCGGCTGGTGCCAAACCTTTGTAGGTGGGGGAAATAAAGAGACAGTAGTTGAGAGGAGTTACAATTTTGTGATGGAAATAATTATTCCCTTTCTAATAGCAGATTGTCAATTCTATCCCTCCCACTCACTCCATTGCATGAAGTGAATTAAAATGTTGGGAAATGTTATTAAAAGTAATGTTGTTGAAATGCCATGTTTTGATCACTTGATTGGATTATTTATATTTTAAAAAGTAAAAACCTTCAATTCTACATTTTGCATTTTCTTTCTTCCCTGCATCATTTTATGTCTGAACAGAAATAGTCACCACACAAAATTCTAAATGATAAAGTTAGAAACAAGAAAAACAAATAATACTACTACTGATGCTGCTATCCAGCCCCCTCACTAATCACCTGATAAGCTGCTGATATTTGGTTTTTCATTACTAATATGAAAACATTCTTAGTTATTTCATAGTGAGCATATAAGAGAACTAATTTCAATAAACGTAGAGAGAGCTTGGGAAGGATTCCATGGATGAGAATCCTCAAGGGGAAAACAACTCAAGAAACTTGGGAAATTTTGAAAAGTGAGATTATAAAAGCCCAGTCTAGCACAATACCAATGAAGAAGAAAAATAACAGCTCTCAAAAGAAACCGGCATGGCTGCATAAAGAACTCTCTGATAAGTTGAAAGACAAAAAGGACAACTATAAAAAGTGGAAAGAGGGGCACATAACTAAGGCAGAATATCAGCAAGTAGCTCAAGCCTGCAAAGATGAAGTGAGGAAAGGTAAGATTCAAAATGAACTAAGGCTTGAGAGAAAAGTCAAAAATAACAAAAAAAACTTCTTTCAACATGTAAAAAACAAGAAAAAAGTCAAGGAAATGATTAGTCCGTTAGTAGGAGAAAGTGGCAAAAAGGTGACAAGCAACAGGGAGAAAGAACTACTTAATTCATTTTTTGCATCTGTCTTTAGATAAAGGGAAAAAACAGTCCGACATATCAAAAACAGTACTGTAAAAACAGATTAGAAACACAAGTTAAAATAGGCAAGAAGATGGTAAGTGAACACCTGTCCACCCTAGATGAATTCAAATCACCAGGACCAGATGGATTACACCTGAAGGTTTCGAAGGGACTGACAGACGTGATCTCAGAACCACTGAACTATATCTTTCAAAGATCCTGGAGCACCAGGGAACTACAAGAGGACTGGAAAAGAGCTGATGTAGTTCCCATCTGCAAAAAAGGAAAAAAATGGATCCAGGAAATTACAGACCTATCAGTCTGACCTCAATATCTGGGAAGAGTCTGGAAAAGATAACCAAGCAACTAATCAGTGAACACCTAGAGGCAAACAAAGTCATAACCAAAAGCCAACATGGGTTTGTCAAAAAGAGATCATGCCCGACAAATCTTATTGCATTTTTTGACAAGGTGACAAAATTAATGGACCAGAGGAATGTTGTGGACTTGGACTTCAGTAAGTAGATAAAGTATCTACCATTTGATAAAGTAGAACAACAACCTACTAGTAGATAAGATAGAAAAATATGGGTTAGACAGCAGCATCACCAGATGGATTCATAACTGGCTGACCAATCGCACTGAACGTGTAGTCCTCAATGGAATGGCATCTACATGGAGGAAGTATGCAGTGGGGTACCCCAAGGCTCTGTTTCAGACTCAGTACTCTTCAATATCTTCATCAATGATTTGGATGAGGGGATAGATGGGGAATTCATCAAATTTGCAGATGACACCAAGCTGGCAGGAATAGCCAACACTCCAGAAGATAGGCTTAAGATACAGAAGGATGTTGACAGATCTGAACATTGGGCACTATCTAACAAAATGAAATATAATGGTGAAAAAGTAAGGTTCTACATTTAGGCAAGAAAAACCAAATGCACAGGTACAGTACAGGTGGTAGCTCGCTCAATAGTAGTAACTGTGAGAGGGATCTTGGAGTCCTAGTGGACAATCACTTAAATATGAGCCAGCAGTGTGCTGCAGCTGCCAAAAAAGCCAACACAGTTCTAGGCTGCATTAACAGAGGGATAGAATCAAGATTACATGATGGGTTAATACCACTTTATAATGCCTTGGTAAGGCCATACTTGGAATACTGCATCCAGTTTTGGTCACCATGATGTAAAAAAGATGTTGAGACTCTAGTACAGGGGTGTCAAACTTGAAACGTCACGTGATGTGTCATGACGTATCGTGACTTTTTTTCCATTGCCAGCAATGGGTGGGCACGGTTTTGGCATGATGCATCCGGCCCGCGGGCCAGCAGTTTGACACCCCTGCTCTAGAAAGAGTACAGAGAAGAGCAACAAAGATGATCAGGGGACTGGAGGTGAAAACATATAAAGAATGGTTGCTGGAATTGGGTATGTCTAGTTTAATGAAGAGAAGAACGAGGGGTGACATGATTGTATGTTCCAATATCTGAGGGGTTGCCACAAAGAAGAGGGAGTCAAGCTATTCTCCAAAGCACCTGAGGGCAGGAGAAGAATCAATGGATGGAAACTAATCAGAGAGAGAAGCAACCTAGAACTAAGAAGAAATTTACTGACAGAACAATTAATCAGTGGAACAATTTGCCTCTAGAAATTGTTACTGCTCCAACTCTAAAAGTTTTTAAGAAGAGATTAGACAGCCATTTGTCTGAAATGGTATAGGGTTTCCTGCCTAAGCAGGGGGTTGTACTAGAAGATCTCCAAGGTCCCTTTCAACTCTGTTATTCTATTCTATTCTATTCTATTCTATTCTATTCTGTTCTGTTCTGTTCTGTTCTGTTCTGTTCTGTTCTATTCTATTCTATTGTTATAAACCCATGCCAAAGCATGTTTTCTGATATTTTTCTCAAGTTAACTATGTAAAAAAATATTGCCCACTGATCTGTAGCAGAGATTAATAACGTATCTTCATGTTTAGTCCCATCAAATTTGTGGGAAGCTTTTTAAGATGGAGAAGTATCTTTAAAATAAGGAAGATCCAGTCCTAACCATTTGACGCCCAAATGTCAAAATGTGTGTTGCGATGTCACAAGACAGCTTCTGTTTTTTTCTACTTGCATGATGATATTGCATGTAAATATATAATGGACAATGCTTGCACTGTAACCATTACAACACAGCTTTCATCCCTTGCTATCCCTTACCCTCTCTATATATGCCAATGCCTAGGAGAATCTCTTACCACTTAATCCTTTTTTCATTTCTTTTAATGGTATCAGCCATCATGGCACACTCTGAAGGCAGGAGGCTTAACCCTAGGGGAAAAAAAATTGAATCTGAACAAGCCACTTATGCCTCTGAGAAGATATTACAGCAGGATAGTTATCTCAGCACAGCCCATTCCAGTTTTACACAAGGTATACACATGCATAAGCTTAATTGGTTTATAACACACACTTGATCTCCAAAAAGAATTCTATTTTTCTTCCCAGTAATGTAAAAATCCTGGATGTGGTTGCTGTTGTTTTTATAATCATTACCATTGTCATCTATTTTTTCTTATAATTTTGGTAACTAATATATAAAAATTATATTTCATTCTTAGAGAGAGCATTTTAATATCACTTTCATCTTACCAGTTCTTCAATTGTGAGCCAGCTGCCAATGCTTGAATTGCAATCTCATGACTACAAGGATAGTGTAAATGATCTTAAGTGTGAGTAACGGTAGAAGTCATACAGTATGTCACTTTTACCAAGGCCATTGTAACTTTGAACTGTCATTAAACAAATGGTTGTAATTCGAGAACTACCTGTACCTTGAGTAAGTTTAGTGTTCTTCATTTCCTTTTATTATTATCAAGTGTCAAATTTTAGATTTCAAGTTTCTTAAGTCAGCATGTTACCCCTTTATACTCTGCAGATTATAATTCCCCCATTGGCATCATGTTATATAAAATATTCAGCTTCTTTATAATCTTACCCTTGAAAACTCTTGTAGCCCAACGTGCCTGCAATTCTGAAGTGGGCATAATAGGCCCAAGAGGTTGGATGAGACCAATAACAGCCAAGGTTGGCTTCTCCAGATGAGGAGGGAAGACATGCTTATACAGTGAGACACGATTATCCTCCACCTCAAGGACTGACTTGTCCAGGAAAGGGAATGCAATGCTGTAGCCTGTTGCAAAGATGACAATGTCTACATTCTCCACCATTGTCCCATCTTCAAATATGGCTGAGGTTTCTGTGAACTGCCGGACAAGTGGCTTCACGCTCACATATCCACACAGGATACGGCTTGGCAGGTCGTCATTGAACACTGGCTCTTTCATCAAGTACCTAAAATGTACAAAACAATAGATGGAACAGTACTGCTAAAAAAAATCACTTTCATAATACTTTGTATAATTCAATTTTGTCATATTCAATGAAGAGAAGAGCCTTTCCCAGAAGATAAACATTATCTTTCCTCAGGAACTCATTCTAGTTTTCTTAAGTCAATCTACACTAACATCGCTCCTTATTTTTGTAACATAACTCACTCTATACAAAACGGCTTTCCCCACCAAAATTTGATGACATCTCCCATTTTTCTTCTAAACTAATTTTAATGTCAGATATTCCTGACTCAGCTTGGGGGGGGGGGCTCACAGGCATCCTGCCATAAGAAAGAAGAAGGGGGAGAAGGAAGAAAGAAGAAAAGATGAAAAGGCGATAAAGCTTTGTCTATACATGAGAGCAAATCGGGAGGAGGGGGATGATAGGTGAGAAGGACCAGAGCAGACAGATCCTGTTTGTACCAGCATCCCATGGCCAGGCACCCTGAGAAGTATGTGGATTACCCCCAAACATCTCAGAGTACTTAAAACATATTGGCAGGTTCTGGTTGGCTGGAAGGGGCTGGTAGGCAAACCTACACCTTATTTTTGTACCCAGTGAGTGTGGATTTCAGAGCAGGCTTGACTTTACTGCAACCATCACTTTTAGTAAAAGAACCTGGATGGCTGGGAGAGGACAACCCACCAAGACCCCTATGGTCCTTCAGGGTCAGGAAGAAGGAAAAATGGGAAGAGAAATCCATGGAAGTGACATTCACCTGTGGAGGCCGAGGCAGCTGCCAGCGAGAGACCCAAGTGGAGCTGGAGGAACTAGAGGAAAAATTGAGTACAAATGAGCCGGAGCAAGATGACTGGATGCTGGAACAAGCCATAAACTTTCTGATGGGGGCTTTTGGTAGTCTCAAAGCTCAAGACGTTTAGCTTGGGTGGCACATCCCACTGACCAACCATCTCTAGCCATAGTAAATGAGGGGGCAACTACCCTACCACCACAATGGCAGCAGCAGTGGCAACTGCCCCTTGGCAACTGCAACTGCCCCAGCACCTGGCCCCGCAGCCAGCCTGCACTGGCTGTAGGAGCAGCACCAGCATGGCTGAGAGGACATAAGCACCAGCCCTGGGAGTAAAGTTCAACAGAGACCTCAGGCAATTAGGGTTCTTCCTAGCAGAAGTTTGGACATACATGCAAGAATATGGTCCAGAAATAGCCACCTGCACCCCAAATCACAACCATCTCCCGACCCCATTATGATCAAGGGAGAGCAGCACTTTGAAGTCAAAGACATTTTGGACTCTTGCATACATCGGGGAAAAACCCAGTATTTGGTAGCCTGGAAAGACTTTCATCTCTCAGTAACTGAATGGATGAACTCCCAACATATTAATGCCCCCAAACTGCTTAAAAACTTCCAGATAAGCTGCATTGAATTGTTTACTAATTGGAAAATTTGTGTATCTCTCCCTCCCTTCTCTTTTTTCTTTTGCAGGACTAATGTCTCTGTCAAGGGAGCAGATTTGCCTGGCTCGGCTTGGGGGGAGCGCTCATAGGCATCCTGCCATAAAAAAGAAGGGGAGGAGGAATAAAGAGGGAAAGATGAAAAGACAATAAAGCTTTGTATGTACATGATAGGAACTCGGAAAGGGGGGAATGACAGATGAGAAGGACCAGAGCAGCCGGATCCTGTTTGTACCAGCATCCCATGGCCAGGCACCTAAGAAGTATGCAGATTACCCCCCAACATCTCAGAGTTCTCAAAACATGTTGGCGAGCTGTTGGTGGCTGGAAATGGACTGGTCATGGGGGGGATGGGCTGGGGGGCAAATCTACACCTTATTTTTTTATCCAGTGAGCATGGACTTCAGAGCTGGCTTGACTTTACTGCAACCATCAAATAGAGTTGAAGGCTTTTCTTTCCTAAGGGATTGGATTGGGTAGGTCTGACATTTAAACTTAATTTTAAATGTTAAAATGTTTAACTAAAAATTAATTAAAAACTAAAAATTAAGCCAGTTTGGTCTAGTGGTTAAGGCATCAGGCTGGAAACCAAGAGATTGTGAGTTATTGTGGCAAGTTCTTAAAGAGATGGGAGTACCAGACCATCTTATTTGTCTCTTGAGAAACCTATATGCGGGTCAAGAAGCAACAATGAGAACTGGACACGGAACCACTGATTCGTTCAAAATTGGGAAAGGAGGCCGGCAAGGCTGTATTCTGTCGCCCTGCCTATTTAACTTATATGCAGAGCACATCATGAGAAAGGCAGGGCTAGATGAATCAAAAGTTGGAATTAAGATTGCTGGGAGAAATATCAACAACCTAAGATATGCAGATAATACCACTCTAATGGCAGAAAGTGAAGAGGAACTAAAGAGCCTCTTGATGCGGGTGAAGAAGGGGAGTACAAAAGTTGGCTTGAAACTCAACATTAAGAAAACCAAAATCATGGCATCCAGCCCTCTCAATTGCTGGCAAATAGATCGGGAAGAAATGGAGGTAGTGACACTTGGGAGCTTGATTTCCCACATAAAGCAGCCCTTCCTACACAACTTTAGTATATACAATACACCTGCAATTAAGACAATTGAAAGACTATTAAGTAATTGAAAGGACACCTACAATTGCTTTGCCTACATGCTCTAAGTTTAAGTCAATAAAGACTTGGCTGTTCCCCCAGGCATTTTGGGTGGGGACAGGGAGAAGTAGGGTGTGTTGAGTGAGCCCTGCCATTGATTGGTTTTTATTATTCTTGTCTGTTGGAGTTGGAATGTTTTCTGCAACTTCAGACAGTTGGATTATTGATTTTTGCTATTGGTTTTAATTCCTATATGTCTGTACATGCTCTATTCATTAAAGAGTCCTCATATTGCAATTGCAAAAACACCCAGCAAAATGATATCCAAGAAATGAAAGGGATTTCAAGGATAAATGCTACTGCTGAATAAATCTCTAGAAGTCAGCACGGCAACAAAAGTGCATTTCTCTTCAGATACCTGTTTTGAGGCACCAAACCATAGTTTTCATGATTGAACCATTGATTCATCTTCTGTTCTGTCATCCATTTCAAAACAAACCATGGGACAGAATTTCGGATAAAATTAATAAAGCGAGTGTGATAGATGGTGTCCCAGGGATAGCCATTGTCATATACTCGACTCATCACCCACGTGCCTCCCCTGGCACTGAGGACCACCTACAGAACCACAAGAGAAGAATTGAAAATTTCTATTTTGATGTGATCGTTTTCCTGAAATAATTTTCTTTTCATTAACTTACTACAACATTTGGGCATAGGTACATGATGATCGCACACGATCATTTCCCACTATAAATATGAACTTTTCTATAGTCTTCTGCTATTTTTAATCATTTAATTTCTAATTAGAAGTGTTAATATTGTTTTGATTCTCAAAGGAACAGCTTTTTTCAACATAAATCTCAAACTCATGCTGTAGTTTATAGGACGGGGTGCTATAGATTTTAGCTCTTGATTATCTTGTAATTCTATGCTTTGCTGGTAGAGGTGTGGGATTTTGATATGTCCCACCTAGTGGATATTTCCTATGCAAATAAGTGATGAAAATAAAAATACTATAGAACCACAATACCAAGTCAGGGAATAGGCCAAAGTACATAAAACCTAGCAAATTTGGGGAGGAAAGGATAGAGATTCATTTTTCACCCCATGAGATTTCAATATCCAAAGAATTTCTGAAGTTCTGAGAACAGGAAATGTTAGTACTCTGAAGCTATTCTGTTGCTCAGAAATGAAGAGCACTTAATGTGGCCATAAGATCAGTGACTGCTCAAAGATCCTAAACATCCTTAGCTCTTTGAAAATATATTTCTCATTACATTAGCTTAAAATAGATTTCTTAGCAATTCAAACACTTACAAAGTTGTAAAGTTTAGCTGGTTCTAAGAAAGGTCATAATATTTCATTGTTGTAACAAATTTCATAATATGTGAGATTTGTGATGCAAGCAGTACATATTATTCAAACAGCAATTTTACAGGGAAAATTCAGGAGCAAGATTAGCATTGTGAATTGGGCTGGAATATCATTTGCTTGAATTTGACAAATCACTTTTGCCTTTTCTATGGTGTTTGTCAGGAGACATTTAAAACTCATTTGTTTGCATTATTTTTTTCTGTGGTGTATCTGTTTTCTACTTCTGGCACACTGAAATTAGAGATGGAAGGAGAACTATCCTCCCTCCCTGGTAATTTGGGACAGAATAGGTGGGATTATTTTAATCTGGCAAATGCAGAGTTTATTTCAGAATTATTACATGAGTCAAAGCGTTTGCACAGTTGAAAAGTGAAGCCTCTTTTATCCACTCCAGGTGGTTTTTATGAAGCCAGGAATGAATTTGTTTTGCTTTCCACTAACTAGATTGGGTTTTATGTTTTGGCAAATGGATTCTACAATTCAAGAAATGCAGAGAAGGCCCAGGGAAATCTTTCTTTTTGTAAGAAATTGATGGATGCATGTTACTCTTATTTCAAGGATCCCTTCTAACCATTTGTTCTTGTAAAAAAAAACAAAAACACCCAGGAGTATGGTATGCAATTTTTATATTTAAACCTATATTTTTCTGTATCCTTTTCACTTTCCCTATTCCTGTTCGTGTGTGTGTGTGTGTGTGTGTGTGTGTGTGTGTGTTCATGCATGTCCTTTTTTAATTGAGTCATCTACTTTCATGCTCTGGCCCTATTGCAAAATCGTAGGACCACATCTGAAATATTATAACCTCCTCCAAACAACCTACTCTCCCTTTACCTTCTTTGCTTTCTTGCAGATCTCCACAGCAATGTCAGCAGCTGAATTTCCCATTCCAATGATCACAACAGTCTTCCCTTCAAATTCTTCTGAATCCTTGTAATTTTGGCTGTGGAATGAATTCCCCTTGAACTTTTCAAAACCTGCCATGAAACAAAGCACAACTATAGTACAAGAATTTTAGGCTGCAAAAATTGGTTTTGATATAGCAGATTTTAGAATCTACAGTGTGTGGGATTTGGGTTTCATATTCAAGTTTGGTTACATGTGACTACTTTAGTTGTAGAAAGAAGGAAATAATTCACACAATCGTCTTATCTTTTGAGGGAGGAAAAATGAAGTGAAAATATTTAGAAATTTTTTTAAATGTGACTAGAAATTAACGTAATATACAAGAAAATACTAAGTTAAATATACACATTATTTCATATAACTATTTACAAATATAATTATGTAAACTCATAGTCTTCTATCCCAATGACATGTTAAAGACCAAACTTGAAACAAAGTGCTGATGCCTTGTTCCCCTCTGCAGCAGATGGGTAAGCTTCAGCAGGCAGTTGTGAATAGGGAATAGGGAAAGAGGAAGGAGAAAAGGTGTGCCATCCCTTCTCCTCTTGTCTGATTCCTCTGATGAGACCTGTCCAGTATGATTGACTCTAGCATAGCTCTCATCTTCCTCAGAGTACACAAGCTCCACAACCACATCAAGGTAGTGTCTCACTGGGAGTTGTTGTTATTTAATTTTTGTCAGATGATGGATATGTGTTTATCCCAGGCTTGTTTAAATTCAGTTACTGATGATTGACTCACTACATCCACTGGAATTTGGTTCCAAGCTTCCACTACTCTTTCTGTGAAGCAATACTTTCTAACATTACTTTTAACTTCCTCCTTCAGTTTGAGGTTATGCTCTGTGTTCTTGATTTTTACTTAATATTGAAAACATTGCCTTCTAGAACCTTATTCACACCCTTAATATATTTAAAGGTTTCAGTCATGTCATCCCTTTTCGTTCTGTGCTCCAAGCTGTACTTATTCACTTCCTTTAATCTTTCCTTATATGTAAAAACTATAATCTATAAAACTATAATCAAATATAAAAAGCTAAGTAAAATACTGTTTCTGATTATATTTTTCAGGTCTGTAACATTTTCCTTTCCATTTCCAAATGCATCTGTGTGCCAAGCCAGGAATCAGGTTCTTTGTTATATATCATTTACAACAGGGGCCCCCAAGCCCTGGGCTGCGGTACCGGGCCGCAGCATGCCAGCAACTGGTTTGCACAAACAAGCAAAGCCCCATCCATGGGATGCAGGCAGCACACAAAACCACACACCTCTGTTCTGCAGAAAAACCTCTCTCCACGGAATCGGTCCCTGGTGCCCCAAAGGTTGGGGACCTCTGATTTACAAGATTTAATTAAACACCACCCCACATTTCAGCATGATCCATGGCTATTTCACTGGTCTCTATAACAGAGCTGAATTTATTCACCCCCAATCTCTGGATCCTTGGACTCCAACTAGAATGTGTTTTTCCTAAACATTTGCAAAAACATTCAGAGTTTCAATGTTCTGTTAAGCCAAGCCATACCAGGAAAAGAATTCAGCGGAGTATGTGCTTCTATCTGATGTCCTGTACAGATCATGACAGCATCAAAGGTGAAGGATTCCTGCTTTCCATCTTTCTCTACAATCACGTTCCATTGGCCAGTAGTAGAGAAATCTTGGCATTTTTCTACATGGACAACTGGAGACTAATATAAAAACCGAGAAGGGACACAGTTATTATATATATATATATGTGTGTGTGTGTGTGTGTGTGTGTGTGTGTATGTATGTATGTATGTACAGTAATTGTTGGCTGCTAAAATGGCTTATCTCATTTTATTTCTTTGAATGCTATGAAGTTAAAGAACAAGTTTGGCATTTACATAATGGCTATGTTTGATGTGCATTTCTTCAGCCAGGAGAAATAACAAGGCTGATTGATTGGAACTGTGTTTACAGATTTTATGTGGAACAAATTAAGGTGAATTCCTCTTGTAGCCAGTTTTATCTCCCACCGAGTGTCACCTGCCAATGAGGAATAAATATATCAATCATTCTTCCGGTGGACTGGAGGAAGCAGAGACTTTTGAGTGTTGCAGCAGTGCACATTTTGAGAACAAAGGGCACTATGAAAAAATTATTGAAACATTAGGGAGCAAACTCACAGGGCCTCTATAAAAATAACAGAATCTCCACAAAGGGAGCCTCCCTAAAAAAACAGAGCCTCCCACAGTCTCTTCAGAAGTACCACTTGCTAGAAGATTAGCACAAAGTTGTCCTGAGTTTGGCGGTCTCTGCAAGAAAGCCTCGCCTCGCCTTGCTTGGCCCAGGCTCCTCTGCAAAAAAGAAAGGTAAGTTGGGTGCTGCTTGGCCCTAGAGATGTGATCCTCGGGTGGCTGGATGGGCAGTTGGCTGAGGCCTACAAGTTATAATTTTCCTCCCTGCTCTAGTAACTTCTTTAGGCTCCCTTATATCACTGAAATGCCAGATTGATAGCAGGACTCGGCCTGGGGGAATCCCAAGGGACTGAGAGCATCAAGTCCCTTGAGGGTGAGAAAGGCCTGGAGCAGGTGGGCCTGAGTCTGTGCTAGGCTTCTAAGGATCTCTCCCACCTCGAGGCACCCAGTTATCCACTTGACAACCTATACATTTGTTTAATGATTCATTGGGGAGAGCAGGGATGGGAGGCCATTAGCCTTGACATTTCACTTAACGACCATTGCAACTTGCAATTGTAGTGGCATAAAAATGTATTTTGTCCTGTTTTTATTGTTTTTATAAATAACTCAAGTTGGTGAACATACCTAATATTCTCTTCTCCTCCTATTTTCCCAACAACAACAATTGGGAGGTAAGTTGGTTTGAGAGTGAGAGGCTGGCCTGAAGTCACCTGGCTAACTTTTAAGCCTAAAGTGGGACTCAAAGTCTCCTGGATTCTAGTTTGGTGCCTTCACCACTAGATTAATTAGATAGATAAACTAGATGAAGTGGAATTACTCTAGATTGGGAAGTTTGCCAGTCAAGAAGGAGATTTGCAACCAAAGCGGGACAGGGTTGCATTCTTTTTCAGAGTTCAAGTGCTGTGTCTGGGCTTGATGGAAAACAAATACACCATCAAAGGGATGCCTTTTACAGTTCTGATTATTTTATTAACTGCTCCTCTGTATAAAAAAATGGTTATTTTCTCAGTTATATGTTTTACCTGGTTAATAAACTACTATACTTCATTCTACTTAGAGCTGCCTTGGTTTATTTAAACTGGTAAATTGATATCAATATATAATGTACATGCCATGTAGTCCTTTGAGATATACAATATGCTTACTGCTACTACAAAGATGCTTTCCATTTTCTTTTATTTAAATCGGTGTTTTTCAAATGCTGGCTGGAAAATTCTGGTAGTTGAAATCCACACATCTTAAAGTTGCCAAGTTTGAAAAACACTGATTTAAACAGTACTCGTATGAAGCATCCATATGGCCACTTGGGAATTCAACCATACTCACCTTGAATCTGATATATTTGAGCACATCAAAATGTTTTGCATACAGTCTCAAATATTCCAGGAACTTTGCATTGTGCAGAAAGTTTGGAAAGTTATCCGGCATTGGAAAGTCACTGAAGCAGCTCATCTCTTTGGAGGAATTACTGGTGAGTGACCTGTAGATACTTGCTCTTCTTTCCTCTACAGTTTCCTAAAGAATATAAAAAGAACCTTTTTTCCAATATTCTCTACAAAAAAAGCCACCATGTATGACCTTAATACTGGTTCTTTAGTATCTCTAACATCAATTCTCGACAATGAACAAGAGCCAAGCTTCATTCTTCATTCTGCATTCTAACAAATATTGATCACAAGCCTAACTTTTGACTTGAGCTTATTGCTCACATTTATTTATCTGCATTCTTCCTATAAAAAAATGAACTTAGAACCAAATCTATCCATGTCTATGCTACCAAAATTGCAAGAATCTGAGCTTTGTTTAATTTAACTATGCAAAAAATATTTCAGAAATTAAGAACTTGATATATGGAAAACACAGACTACCTATAGTAAAAGAGTATCTCTTTCCTTCAAATGGAAAGCCATTTAACTATAAGAAGTAAGTGCCTTGTTTTAGAAACATTATGGAGGATTACTTATAGTACTCTTAGTGATCTGAGAAAATGTTTGTTTTAAAAAGCAGACTTGGCAACAAGTATAGAATGCAGTCATATATTCAACTCTGGATGAGAGGCTAGAATATTTTATTAGTAACTGTCAGTAATAATAGGTGGTATTGATTAAACACATTAGTTGAGTTGCAATGTTGAGAAAGATGCATCAAATCTTTGTAATATTGAAAATAAAAAGTGATCTTATTTTATGCTAGTAGGTCTCCAGGCAGATTTGCCTAATGAAGGAGTATTTATTGGGAATTTTTGAGTAAGTATTACTGTGTTATGAGGAAGACCTGAAAGATTAGGTTAGGGATAGATCATCATGGATCAGATGTATCTGCGTGGTTGGCTAAGGGTAAATACTGACTTAATGGTGCATAATCGATCAATTACTGTAATCAAATGGAACTACTACTAATATGCAGTTCAGGGGGGGGGGGCTGGAAAGTTCATTTATATTTTCCGAACTACTACTAGTATGCAGTTCGGGGGGGGGGGGGAGGCTGGAAAGTTCATTTATATTTTTCATGCAATGCACAAAGTATCTTTAGTTCAACTCTACTAAAGTCTCAGCCCAAAACCAACTAGAATTAGACACAACATTCAGTTGCAGGCTCTCTCTCTCTATATAAAAATGTTAATTTTTTTATACACAGCTAACATCATGCTTGGTTGGCTCTTAGGACCAATTGTTGATGAATGTTATGTTGACAGGAGAGGGCTTTAGACTTTTTTTACATGCATCATACATCCAATCTACATAAACAGGGTGAAAGTTCAAGCATGCAGTTGTGGCATCTTAACTTTTTTTACCCATCCTGTTTGCCTATGCCCTGGGGAAGACCCTCTAAGAGATACAAATTCCTAGATTAACCTTTACATTCAGTTCATAAAAGGTTTTACACAACTACAACATTTTTCCTAGGATTGCTGTCAGATTTAGAACAATAATCTTTATAGGATTCTTTCTCTTTTGAAGAGGAAAATTCCTAAGAGGATTTCATTACTTCAATTTTTCAAACTTTGTCTGCATATTATATTTGTTTCTATAAGAAAGCAATTAAAAATTTTCTATCTACTTACTGTGAATCGCCATAGGCCACCAATGTCACTGCTTTGCTCAAAACAGGTGGGTTCAAGGCCTTCCTCCAGGCAAGCTTTGATGGATGTCAGCCCACTTACTCCAGAACCAATAACTGCTATTCTCTTTGACATGGTCCCTACAATAAAAAATGATCAGGAAAATTCTTCTAAAGCAGGGGATCCCAACTCAAATCCTTCCTTCAGATCTAAAGGCCTCCAATGAATGTTATTAACTCAAGATAGTAGCTCGGCCAATTTGTTATATTAATATTGGGTAGAAGTTATAAAAATTATCTTAGGAGTTTGCTTTTAACAAATTCTATTAATATTTTTTCTTAACACTTACAAAGTGCTCAATAAGCCAAGATGCCTGCTTTTGCCAGAAACACCATGATTAAGAACAGTCACTGAATCTATACTTTAAGCATGAACCTTTGCTTCATAAAAGCTCAGATCCTTTGCCCAGATAATTTCAATTTCTTCCTCTTCTCTTCCTCTCATCCTTTAATAAAACTTGCAGATAATTAATAGGGCTTGAACCTCATATTCTAGACATATTTACCTAACTACAAAGAGGTTTAGAAAAAACAGACACATTGCCTGTCAAGGAACCTTATTTTGACTTAAGATAAATGGAAAATCAGAAAAATGAGACTTTAAAAATTATTTGCCATATATGGAAAATCAGGGAGAAAGAACCAAATACTGGAAAAGTGGCATTGAGTCTGAGAAGCTTTGAAGTTTTATAATAAAGAGAAAACTTTGCAAATAGGAGGAAGAAAATCCAACCACTTCACCCCCCCTCCATGCGTCTAGTTCTCTTCTATTAAAAGAGATGTTTTTCCTGATTTATTTATTTCCATTTGTGAGTAGTCATCTCTTCTTATTTTCTTATGCCCCCTTTTCTTCTCATCCTTTTTTCCATTGAATGAATGGATAAGTGGGCATGGCCATGATGAAAGGCAGCAATATAAAGAATGAAAGACCGGTGGCCAGTCTGATGCAGGTATTTCTGATATCTATGAGTAGATTTTGTAAAGGCTACTTTGAGGAAAGTGCCACTTATGAACCCAGGTTGCTAATGTAGGAATGCAAGAGGACATTCCAGATCATTGGATGCAACTCTCAGAGTCTGAAAGAGTTGAACGGAACTTTAAAAGCTTCAGTTAGATTCCCACAAGGATAATTTTAGGTGGCATTCCAAAGTATTCAGGGAAAAATCTTAAATAGCCTTGACACCAACCCACCATGTGATTTGTAATGGCATTCCAAAGACTAAGTGACATCCAGATCATAATGTGGACTCAATAAGCATCATGTGAACAGACTGGAAAGAAACTGACAGATTCATCCCAAACTAGGATGAACCAGATTCATCCAGGTATCCACTTTCTGTTCATTCTGCAATAATAGAAAACTTGAACTGCTTCTACAAACTTGGCTTCCTTCCTCTTTCTTTTTTTGTGTGCATCACAGGTCTCCAACCACATTTTTTAAAATCTTTCTTCCCATGTTATTGTTGTGCACTCATTTATCTGACTGTCTTTTTTATTCTTTTAGTCCTTTTATGCAATCTTTTTCCAATTCTTCTAACTCTTTCCTGCCCCCCTTTTCCTGCTGAAAGCACTAATAGCTCAACGTTTTCACTCTTCTAGAATTCATAACCCAATTGGGCATATATTACTCTAACACATAATGTAGTTTGTTTACTTTTGTGTTTTATGGTAACAGATACACTGTGGATCATGAAACAAATAGAGGTTAAAATATGGTGCTGAACCCTGCCATGAAGCAGTGGAGGTATATTACAGCTAGCTTTACTAGATTGGAAAAACTAGTTTCAATTCCATTGCAACAGTGAGAGAAAAATAAATGGAATGAATGCATTAAAGGGGAAGGATATTATGCCCACTGTCCTTGTCATTTTCATAGTCATAGTAAGGCATGGACCCTATGCATAGTGGAAGAACTCTGCAGTTTTTGCACATATAGACTCTCACTGCCTTTGACACTCAAGAATGTGGGGCAAGGATACCTCTTCTATCCACTTACATGTCTGCACACATGGAATGAATAGGATTGTTCTGATACAACTGTTCTCCTAGCTTTTTTTTGGAACTAGACTTACAGGACATCCTGATATACCATTTCCATTATCCATGGCAACTTATAATACTTAGTATGGATGAATTCATCAAATATCTATTGCTATACTTATTCAAGTTTGGAATTGAAGAATAGATATTATCTCAGAAATGTTAAATATTTATTGACCAAAATCAGGTAGATGGGGGAGAAAGAGTAAGAGCATACAGAAATATTCAATAGTCTGCAAAAAAGGATTCTAACTCACATCTTACATACACTACTTTTGATTAAGCTTAAATATTAGGCTTTGCTATTCATGCATTATTGTTATATCAACTTGTCAAACTTTGCGATACTTTTTTTCCAGGCTGCCACTAATACATGTAAATTAGACTTATCGCCATATAACATAGTAAGCAATTATGCACTAGCTTCAAGAAAAGAAAAAAAATATGAAACGGAGTTAAGTAAACCATAACACTGAAAAATTGAGACCCGCTATACCTGCTTTTTAGTTATATAGAACAGCTGCAAAGGGCTCAGATTTTGAATGGAATAAAAAGAGTTATAATCCTTTCTCCAATGCTGTCTTTACAATCTAAATTGAATCACATCAGATGAAAACAGAGACACCAGGGCCTTGGGAAGCTTTCAATTCATCTAGCAGTGTGCATGTTTGTGTAAGTAAGAGATACATTTTAGTGGTTTCTTTCACTTGCTTGCTATTTCCATCAAACAGAAATGTTCGTCTTTCCTTATAGACTTTTTTTTAAAACTAGGATAAGCTGATTTGAAGAGAAAAAGTATAGGAGAGAAGGAACAGTTCTTACCTGGTGTCTGTCTTCTAGAATAAGCTAATTGTCCCTTTAGTATCTGGAGGGAAATTGACACTGACATGCAAGATCCAGAGAGCTTTAAACAAACAGGCAAAACCTCATGTGTTTTTCTATTCCACTGGCAAAGACCCAGAGGGCTATGAATTTAGCCAGATCCTTTCTACCCTGTCTTTTTTATTGAAACATTACACTTATCAAATGATAAATAGAGTTTAGTTGACATATAAAGTTTATGTGTTTTGGGAGGGAGACTTTTAAAAAATGCAAGTTTACCCAGGAATCAAAATTGGAACATTTTCTGGAATGAAGAAGCAATAAGTATCCAACACTTGGTTGTTGTTTTTTTGAACTTTCTGAAAATATTTAATAATAAATGTGTAATAAAATGTTTAAAAAGGACACTAACTTTTGAAATTGTTCAGAGGAGGTAGTTTTGGTTGGTGCAGAAATGGAGAAGGAAAAAAAAATACTTACCAAAAATCTCTTTTTTCATAGACCAGAGCTCTATGAGTCCAATTCCTATTACAGTCTTCCTTCCAAATGGCCATTTACCTTCTGCTTAAAAAGAGTTCCAGGCTGAAAAGATAATTTTGCAATTTTGGGGGAGGATGGGGGGGGGGTTCATCTGTTCTATCTTCCCATTTACTCTACAAAAGGCTTAGTTTTTGTACATTCCTTGTCTCTCTCTTCTGCCAGACTGCATGGAATTTGAGATTCCAATCTCTCCAAGGTGATTTGCTAGCCTCTGTAATGTTCCTTTGCTCACAAACAAAGAGTGAAAGGTGGAGAGGGGATTGAACAGAGCTTAGGATAATATTTGATAGATTTGTTTAGGATAATATTTAATAAACTTTATTCCAAAAGGAAATGAGGTTTGGACAGTATTTAATAATCCAAGGGAAACAAGGTTTAGGACAAATATTTAATAGAGCCTTCTTGAACTGGCATGATCTATCTGAAAACAAATGCAAAATCTTTTTAACAAATTTTTGCTCTGGAAACAATCCAGTCACTGAATAAATTCCAATACTGATGTGTAGATTTTTTTCTTCTCAGCTTTGCAAATTCTTATTCTAGGAAATTATTAATGTGTTTGATTGCAATGTTCATGAAACCAATACAAATCTGTAGATTTATTCTTTTATAACTAGCCATCACATAAAAAGCCAGTGCCAAGAAGAAACAAAATATTATACAGATAGAAGACAGGATAAGGAGATGGGCTTGTCAGAAAAATAATCCATTGGGAACTTGAACATAAAGTGCATGTTATCTTTAGATTCCTAGAAGTAAGATTTTTATATACTGTAGCATTTGCTGTACTTCCAGATACTGCATTCCCTCTTCTATTTTTTTTAATAGAGTTGCCTGCTTTCCTTCAAATGATCTTCCTGTTTATTTAATCCTTCTCTCCACAAACCATTGAATAGCCACAAATATTAGAATAAGCCCACAGTATAAAGCAGCAGCTAAGATGAAAGTGGGTGAGAAAATTCTGTTTTCTTTCCCTAAGACAATAGTTCAACCTTTTTCAACCCAGAAGGACAGTTATTGTATTACAGAAGAAAACCCCTAGATCAGTTTTATACTGGACATTCAGGCTAAGAAAATTCTAGCTAGAAGCAAAGCCACCATTATTTACTGTGCCAGAACCTAATCTAATGTAATGTATATTCATACCCTTTTCTATTACTGCATCTTTTACCAGCGCCCTAACAGATTTTTGGCTTAGCATTCTCTGGGTGGTTTACAGTGTAGAAGCATTATTTGCATATTGCCCCCAACAATCTGGGTCTCATTTTACCGACCTCAGAAGAATGGAAGACTGAGTCAACTTTGAGCCATCAGGATCAAATTCCAGGCTATGGGCAGTTTGCCTCCAATACTACAATTTAACCACTGCACCACCAGGTCTCTAGAGAACAAACTGGCTCAACAAGGCAGAACTTATGCCTCTTTTTTCCCTCTTTGTTCAATCATGTCTGATCCTCCATACTCAACTCCAATTTTAAAATTAACTGTGAATCTAGTCCTGCCTTAGGCATGAAGTCATCTGGGTGACCTTGGGGGCCAGGCCCTCTCAGCAGTTATGAGGAGGCAGTGGCAAGCCACTTCTGAAAACCTGCCAAAAATACTGCAGAGACTTATCCAGGCAGTCAGCAGAAGTCAAAAGTCAAAGGCACACATACATAAAAGGGCAAGTGGGAGCCTGCATAGCCACTATGCCCCTTCCAGCTAAAAAAAATTGGAAAGGCCCCAAAATCAGTCAGTACTCTGCACTCTTAGCCATCAGTCCTGACTAATAGATCATTCTTCTTTCTATGGCAGTGGTTCTCAACCTTTTTAATGCCGCGACCCCCAACCAGTCGTAAGTCAAGGACTACTCAACCGGTGGTAAGTCAAGGACTACTCAACTGGTGCAGCACCGTTTGCAGAATGGGACTTTTGGCGGGCTCAGCAGGGCAGAGACAGCATGGATAATTCCTATTGGCTTTTGAAAGCCAATAGAATTAGACTCTATTCAAGAGAGTCTATTCTATTGGCTTTCAAAAGCCAATAGAATAAAAGGGAGTAGCACAGCTAAGGAAAAGGGGAAAAAATGGTGGACTGTGTTGTTTGGCGACCCCCGTGAAATGGTCGTTCGACCCCAAATGGGGTCCCGACCCACAGGTTGAGAACCACTGTTCTATGGGATTAAGAATTGACACTTTTTCTTTTTGGATTGAACCATTGCTATCCCTACAGTTCCCCAACAGTGTTAGGCTTCTTGAAGAGTTTTCAGCAGTCAGCAACCATTCCTTCCTCCTTTCACCTCACTTTGACAGCTGTTTGGCCTCCCTCTTCTTGTGACCCATCCAGAAATTCATTAATCATCCCTTTGTCTGGCAAATGCTTTTCATTTGCAGCCCAAGTGGTCATAGAGAGCAGGGATTGTGCAAGAGGAACAAACCACAAGGAACAGCATGTTTTCCACCCCATTTGCCCAGCCCCAGCTTCCCTCACAGAGATAATTTCTAACAGATACATGGATTGAGAAATAGGACATGAAAGGCATAATGAGCAAAATATC